CGCGTGCCTGGGCGGCGGGGCGGGGAGCGCGTGCCCCCTCGGCACTCCCTCCGTCCATCCGGCGCTGCCCTAGCCCACGCCTGGCGGCGGGCAAAAGGGGGCAGGGGGTAGGGGGCAACGCCGCTCTGAATGAGACTGCCTCTCAGAGGGCGCCCGAGCTCGGCGTCTGCAAAGAGGGCCCGCGCCCGCTGAGTGGCAGGGGTGCTTCTGAAGAAGCCTTCGCTCCTACCCCGAACCCCTTTTTGTGCGCGTGGCCGGCACGCCACCGTGCTGGCCTGGCAGGTCGTACCGACGCCTCCTCCTCCTCCTCCTCCTCTTCTTCCTCCTCTTCCTCCTTCTCCATCCTCCTCTTCTTCTCCTCCTCCTCCCTCCTTACTCCCTCCTCCTCCCCCCCTTCCTCCTCCTCCTCCTCCTCCTCCTCCTCCTCCTCCTCCCCTCCTCCTCCTCCTCCTCCTTCCCCCTCCTCTCCTGCTAAATCCTCCTCCTCCTCATCCTCCTCCTCCTCCTCTCCTACTCCCTACTCCCGTCCTCCTCCTCATCCTCCTCCTCCTTCCTCCTCCTCCTCCTCCTCCTCCTCCCCCTCCTCCTCCTCCCCCTCCCTCCGAGCCCATGCAGGGGCCAAGGAAGCTGTGGGCAAGCTGCGCGTTGTGTGACAGAAAGAATACGTTGGCATGCTCCTGTCGGCACAGAGAGGCTGGGCAACAAAAATCGAAGCTTGAAGTCCCGCAAAGGTGGACGTTGCTAGGGCCGGGTGGACTGGCAAAAGCTGAAACGAGAGGTCGCCAGGGCCCGAAACGCTGGAGTCGGGGGGGACGTAGAGGTTGGTGGGGGCAGAGGTGGAGTTGGGAGGAACATTGCCCTCAGCGGCCTTTGGAAGGAGGAAGCAAGAGCATCAGGGCGGGATCGCTCCCGCACCCCACCCGATGACAACCCCTCCCTTTGCGCACCCCTGGCGGAGGGAAGCAAGCCGGGACCGGAGACCGGAGAGAGCGGCAAGGCCGGCAGCCATTTTCTGTCAGCTCCCCACCGTGCCTCTGCCCCTCCCCGACGAGCGCGCCGGCACCGCAAAAGCCTCCGTCTTCCCCCATTCTCTCGTCTTCGTCCAGGGCCGAGATTTCGAGGTTTCGAGAATCGAGGTTGCGAGGTTCGAGGCGGGCGATCTCGGGGGGGAGGGGCGGCTTGACATCTGAGAGAGGGCTGGCTGCAGGGACAGCCCCTTCCCCCCCTCACCCCTCCTCCCCCTCTCCATGTCCCACTCTTCCTCCAGCGTCCATGCTCTGCGCTCTTATGTCGAAACTCTTCCTCCACGTTTTTCCTCATTGCAGTTGGGCGGGCTCCAAGTTTCAGGCTTGTAGCTTTCGGTCCAATATCCTCCTCCTCAGCCTCCTCCTCCTCCTGCTCCTGCTCCTCCTGCTCCTCCTCCTCCTCCTCCTCCTTCCCTCCCCCTCCTCCTCCTCTTCTTCCTCCTCCTCCTTCTCCTCCTCCTCCTCCTCCTCCTCCTCGTTTTTCTGCTCCTTCTCCTTCTCGTCGTCGTCCTCCTCCTCCTAATTCCTGATTCCTGGTGGATGCAAGATCCTTCGGAAATAGCCTCCCCTCCTCCTCCTCCTCCTCCTCCTCCTCCTCCTCCTCCTGCTCCTGCTCCTGCTCCTGCTCCTGCTCCTTCTCCTCCCCTCCTCCTCCTCCTCCTCCTCCTCCTCCTCCTCCTGCTGCTCCTCCTCGACTCCGAAGCAGAGTATGCCTGCACGGGCTCGGAGATCGTCTGCACGCCGTCCCTGCGGAGCAGCGGGGCGTGGACCAGGGACACGCCGAACAGGCTGCTCGGGAGGTCCTGGCTGTCCCAGAGGTAAGGGGGGCAGGGGAGGAGGAGGAGGAGGAGGAGGAGGAGGAGGAGGAGGAGGAGGAGAAGGACCAGTGTAAACCCAAGAGTCATCAACGATATTGGAATACGCCCTCCCTCCCTCCAAGCTCCCTCTTCCAAGGCCACTACATCGGCTCATTTCCGTCAAAGGAACTGCCTCGTTGGAAGACAACCGTTTGAAGACCCTGAAGCATGCCAAAACATTGTTCTCGGGACAACGCTACGGATCAACCAGACTGTTGCGTCTTGACGATCCTGAATCGTGCCAGAACGCCGTTCCTGGGACTTCAACACAGCAAACCAACGTAACTGTTGCACCTGCATAATCCTGAATCCTTTCAAAACACCATGTCTGGTACGTTGATGATGGGAATCCGTGAAGCTCTTACAAATTGTGTGAACGAAAGTGCGCGGCGCTTCGCCGGGCCTCCAAATTCAGACAACTAGCGTGCGAGGGTGCACGGCAAAGCGCTGGCGCGGGAGGGGGAGAGAGGGATGGGAGGGGAGGGGAGGGAGGTGGCCGAAGAAGGAAAGCGAGACTAGACTGAACAATATTGAGCCACAGCCGCATGCCACTCAGAAGGCGCAAACTCCGCGGTTTAGCAGGCATCCCTGGCGCTCATCAGCGCCTCTCTAGGCTGCAACGTCCTTAATGCGGCCGTCAAGCTCCACTGTGTAGCAAGCATCTCCGGCGTTCGACACGGCCTCCACGAAAGCCTGGAAGAGAGGAACCGCGTCGTTCAGGGTCGTCATCTGGTACAACTCGTTGTGGCGCATAGGCGAGTTGGACAACATGTAATCTGTGATGGCGACGGTGAACTTCTGCTCCGGGTCCACCTCCTTCTTGTCCTCGGTCATGAGCTTCTGGAGGCGCTCGCCCGCGGGCTTGGCGTGGTCGAACTCGTACCTGAGCCCGGAGACCTGCACGAAGTCCCCCGAGGCCGTGTCCCAGCCGTCCAGGTTCATGTTAATGTAGTCGAAGAGCTCCTTGCCGGTGGCGTAGATCTTGGCCACCTGGTTTCCGAACGGGTGTATCTCGAGCAGATCCTTGCGGGAGGCTTTGCCCGCAGAGTACACCTTGTTGCCGCGCAGGGTCCCGCCGTTGATCAGCGCAACGTCCGTCTTGTGCATCGCCCTCACGGCGTCCGCGCCGAAGTTCCCCATGGTCGTCTCCCCGCGGCGGACGTTAAATGCGACCGCGTCCAGATCGGCGCCCAGGCAGCCCACCAATTTGGCCAGCTCCTTCTCGGCCTTCTCCTCCCACATCACGATCTTCTCGTGGATCTCCTCGTCGTGGGGGTCCGCGTCCGTCAGCGAGAACTCTTGGCCGTCGACAGACTCCACCTTGCCGTCGTCGTCGAGCCAAAGCGTCATCACCCACTGCGTCTTCAGGTCGCTGGCGGCCTTCACGTACGGGGCCTTGCCGCACACTGAGGTGAACTCGGTGGCGTGGTCGTGACCTCCGAGGATCAGGTCGATGTCATCCCCGAGCTCCTTCGCCAGCTCGCAGTCCTGCTCCGAGAATTGGTGGGTCAAGGGCAAGATCACCTTGCAGCCCTCCTGATTCTTGAGGTAATCCACGGACCTCCTGGAGGCGTTGAGTACGTTCTCGAACGTCAACCTGTCCACGTCTTTGAACATTGTCTCCCTCACGTCGTACGCGACGCCGAAGAAGCACACCTTGATTTCCTGCTTCTGGTCGGGCTCCCACCGAGGCGCCCACTCGACGGATTTGATGAGGTACTCCGTGGTGTGCTTGAGAAGCTGGCCACTCTCGTCCATGAGGTTGGTGTTGAGCCAGGGGAAGCTGGACTCCTGAAGGCGGGTGGCCAGCAATTCCACACCAAAGTCGAACTCGTGGTTGCCCAGCGAGGCCGCGTCCAGCTTCATGTCGTTCAGCACGTCGATCATCTGCTCGCCCTTGAACATGTCGCTCAAGACGGACGGCGACAGGCAATCGCCGGCGAACACCACAAACGTGCGGTCGGGGTTGCGCTTGCGCAGCTTCTTGAGCATGTGCACCGCGCGAGACATGCCGCCGAAGCGCACGCCATCCTCCATCGTGCCAGCAATGTTGTAGACGTCGTTGAAGTGCACGATGGTTATCTCGTTCGAGGCTGCGTGGGTCTCGTTCGAGACGGCCCTCTCGCCGGCGTGACGCGCGATTTTACACAGGCCTGTAGGCCAGTTGTCCGCGCAGTCGTTCGCGGAGCTGATGTAGCCGAAGCGAAGGAGCTGGCCCCCCTCGCAGTAGGGGTCCAGAATGCCGTCACCGTCGCAGTCGCGGTACGACAGCGCGTCCTTGCGCATGTCGGTGCCGTTACACCAACCCTCTGGGATCTTGCACGCCGTCCGCCCGTCGGCGGCGACTGCCGAGAGCACGCCGTTGCTCATCGTCAGGCGCGCCGCGTGCGGCCGGCCAATCATCAGGCCCGCTCCAAAGCCAGCGCCGCCGAAAACGAGGCCCGCCGCGGCCGCGGCGGCAACGAGCATGCCCATGGAGCGGGGAACGTCGGACGTACCATTCAGAGGCTGCGTCTCGTCTCCTGCCATGATGCCGCGACTTTGCGGGCGTGGCAGCAATCGAAATCGATCCTGAGAAAATGACCTTGAACCTTGGATCTTGAGCCAAAATGGCTACGGAAACCTTTCGGGGGATCTTGGGGGCTCCCACGGCCGAAAAAAATAAGATACGGAGATCACGCCCAAACCTCAGGAACATCAATGATTTTTTTCTTTCGGAGGCCTCTCACCGGCCATTTATGGGCCTCTTGGGCCAATCTTGGGAATCTCCTGGGCCGTCTTCGAAGCGTCTCCGATGTCCCTGGGCGCTCTGGGTTCAGATGGAGCGTCCGTTCGGGCCGCCCTGGTGCTGTCTGAAGCCAGCTGGTGCCTCTGGACCCCCAGGGGCTAACCTGGGTACCTGGGGGGGGGGCGAGAAATGTGCTGCGCCTGGACCGGGGGGCCCGCGCGCAGTTACATATATATATATATATATATATTATATATATATATATATATATATATACATATATATATGTATACATATATAGATGCTCCACCCGAGGGCCTGACCAGAAGGCGCGAGGGAGAGGCGAGAGAAGAGGGAAGCCCCGGAGCTCTCGCCGATCTCTTTTACATATCACTCCAGATCTGGCAACTGGTCGCCTCCACGAGGCAATCTCGCTAGAAGAAGGGCTGGCTGAATACAAACACGCCTGCAGCCTCAGAGAGGCTAGACGATTCAAAGGCTCCCGGGAGCTCCGAAGAGTAGACGAGCAGACGATTTGGAAAGATTCAGCAGCCGTCACCAAGGAAAAAACCCACCTTTTTACACAGGGCAGGGTGGGACGGGTCACTGTGAGCCAATACGATTAAGGAGGAGGCCAGGGGAGGAGAGGGAACGCATCAAGACATTCACAACCTCCCCACAGGCGGTGGAGACACGAGGCGTCACCACGGGTCAGAAACTGTACTCCGAATCTACAATCGTGCAACTGATGAATAGATGCTCCACACGAGGGCCTGACCAGAAGGCGCGAGGGAGAGACGAGAGAAGAGGGAAGCCCCGGAGCTCTCGCCGATCTCTTTTACATATCACTCCAGATCTGGCAACTGGTCGCCTCCACGAGGCAATCTCGCTAGAAGAAGGGCTGGCTGAATACAAACACGCCTGCAGCCTCAGAGAGGCTAGACGATTCAAAGGCTCCCGGGAGCTCCGAAGAGTAGACGAGCAGACGATTTGGAAAGATTCAGCAGCCGTCACCCATAACCCATATTATGATTCACGGGTGGGCGGGATGGGCACAATTCACAGAAAAAGATCGTAAAAAGTCTCCTCGAATGCTGTGATCAAGCGTTGGTCTGGAAGCGCACTCCTGTGGCGCGAAGCAGCTTCTGTTCGAGGCGATTAGCGGCACGCTTGAACTGCTGCTGCTGTGCGGGAGAGAGGCGGCTGATTTGCCTCAGGAGTCGACCCTCTTTGCCGTACCTCGCCGCGGAGCGGTCGCTGAGCCAGCCGCCGCGCTTCTTCAGCACTGGAAGCGTGGCGAGGCCGTTCAGGTAGTCGAGGGAAGGGCCGCCGTGCCGCAGCGTGTGCGGCGACACTTTCAGCGCTGCCAGCCCTAGTCGGCGGCTGGCCTCGCGGAACAGGCGCTCGTAGGTGGACAGCGGGAGCTCGCTGAACAGGCGCTGGACCCGACGCGCTTTGGCTCTGGCAACCAGCTGTCGAACAAGCTGCCGAAGCCAACCACGAGATCGGTCGATAGACCCGACCATCACGGTGTCGTCAAACTGCCGATTCTTGTTAGGCCGAGGTGATGTGCCACTCGAAGGGGCCACGATCAGCGCCACCTTGTCATAGCGGTCGCCAGCCCTGCCTGAGGGTAACACCACGTGCTCGAGGGACAGGTTGACCGCAGCAGCTGGACGGAGGTAGGTGTCGAACTGCAAGGCGCCGCAGGCAGCGGCGAGGATGGACTCGGTCGTGCCCAGCTCGAGCCAGTGGTCGGCGATCGCGGCGAACACCTCCCAAGGGCACGGGTCACGGCTGAGCTCTGGGCAGGCTTTCACCCAGCCCGCCAGAGCTTTCACGGCATGCGGCAGGTTGCGCGAGGGCGCAACGATGCCGTGCAAGTGAGCGTAGCCGAACAGGGTGTGCCGACCAGCCCACGGCTCACAGCCGTCGAAAAAGAGAAAGTCAAAGTACGCGGAGAGGCTGGCGTCTAGCTGCTCGAGAGGAGCCAGCGCCCGGGGCGGGGCCTGCTGGCTGGCCCAGTGGACGAAGTCTGAGGAGCACGACTCGTAGTTGACGAGCGTCCCCTTCCCGACGGTCTTGCGCTCCAGAAACCTGTCGCCGGGGTCGTGTCCCGCGGCGGCCCGTCGGGAGGCCGCCTTAGCAGCACGTCGCCGATCTCGATCTGGTAGCTCCGCGCCGAGGGCCGACCCAGACCACGCGCTGGCCCCAGTGCTTGACGGCGTCCTTCCACGGGCTCTGGTAGCACCTGGGGCAGTGGAGCCTGAAGACGTCGGTCGGGAGCGGGCAGCCTCCGGCTCGCGCCAAGTCAGCTTCCCATCGCTCCAGCGAAGTGGCATCGGCCCCGCGGGCCGTGTCTGGAGCCGCCCGGGCCAAGATGGCTGCCCAGGAGCGGCAAAGTCGAGGAGGGTAGCGCCCTGCCAGAGTCGTCTTCCAGGCCCACCGCCCCCGAGCCTCGCCGGGCCCTGGAGGCAGAAGGACTTTCCCTTCAAGAATCTCATGATGATGGTTTCCTGGGCATAGACGATGTAGCCCCTGAAGGGCCTGCATGTTGGTGGCCAGGAGGGTCGGCTTGAGATATCCCGCACCGTATGCACAGTTATCGTATCGGACAAAGATCGCGTTCTGCCTCTGCAGCTCCTTCCTAAGGGGCTTCCAGGAGAAGAGCCTCGAGGAACGCGGGTTCTCGAGTGAGTAGAGGACGCCATACTGCCTGCAGAGTTTGATGAGCCCCAACGAGAACTTGGCCAACTGGAGGCCCCCAAGAGCGGCTGTACTTGAGCCCGTCGTGCGGGCCCTCGACCAAGTAGTGCACGGAGTCCCCAGGTGGAGGTACCACACGAGCCCCTGCTTGACCAAGCCCTTGATGTGCCTCTGGGTCCTCTGCCTCGAGACGTCCATGTGGGGGCCCCTCGAGATCTCGATGGGGCACCCGATGTTGAGGTCGGCCTCCTGACAGGCGGCGGAGAAGGCGGCGCAGCCGGCGAAGATCTCCAGGACGAACTGATGCTGAGCTGACGTCTTGACGGCAGGGCTGTTGCTTTTTCTGTGCTGCTCAGTCCGTGCTCGCGGGCCCCGCTGGCGGGTGCGTCGGCGGGGCCGCGCCGCGCCTGGGCTGCATGGGGCGGCAAAATGCGCGCGAGGCCCCATGCGCCCAAGAAGTGACCGCCGCTCGGGCGGAGTCCGAACCCTCGTAGGGGTCGGGGGGGCTGCGGGCGTCTGCCGAGGCCCCATTCGCCCCAGCCCCGACCGCGAAGGCGGCGGTCGGCGGATCCGAGCGCTGGCTCGGGCTGGGGGCGAGTCGGGGGCCCGCGAGCATCGCTGCAGCAGCGCCCGGCCGTGCCGGCCAGCGACAGAGGTCCCGGCAGCCAGCTCGCCTCGGTCGGCCGCCCTCGAGTCGAAGTCGGTCGGGTTCCTCTTGCTCTCCACGTAGCGAAAGGACCAGTCGAGCTCGCAGCCGATGGAGAGGGCCCCGGCGCGCTGGCACAGGCGCCGAAGGGCAAAGCTGCCTGAGCGCCCCTTCTCGAAGCTGCAGAGGCTCGAGAGGTTGTCCCCGATCGAGAGAACTCTCCTCCCGTGAAGGCCGACGCACCTCGAGGCCCGCACCAGGCCCATGAGCAGCACGCGGCCCTCCTTCTCATGGATGACCCCGTCGTGCTGCCACGCGCCCTTGATGACCATCGCCCAGCGCTTGCTCGCGAGCAGCGCGTCTGGCAGCGGCGGGATCCCCACCTCCTCGGCCGGCCGCTCCACGGTCTCGATGTCGCGCCACGGCCGGCAGCGAACCGCAGGTCCGCCGCCGAGGTCGCGAGGGCCGCCACCGAGAGACCCTGACGGGTCTGGCGAGGCTCGCCACTCGGCCGACCAGCCGCCCACGGCCCCCCAGCCATCGTCGCTCCGCTCGACCGCGTCGAAGCGCCACCGCTCTCGGTAGCGTGCCACGGCCCGAAACTCGGGTCCCGAGACGGAGGTGACGTGCAGCGCGTAGCCCACGGCAGAGGAGTCCCCGCAAAAGGCGACGCTGGCAGGCTCTGCACTGAGTCGGGCCTCGGCCAGGAAGACGAGCCAGGAGGACACTTCCAGCTCCCACCGGACGGACGCCCACAGGCGAACCTCCTTGCCGCCGCTCTCGGACATGAAGGACCAGACCTTGTCGAGCGTCGAGAGCCCGAAGCGCAGCAGCTGGCAGTGGTGCACGATGTGGCCGACCAGAACCTGCAGGACGAGCCCGCTGCAGCGGCCTCGGCGCAGCACGGCGCGCAACGCCAAGTGGAGCCGCCAAATGCGCCGGGGCTTAGGGCGTAGCAGACGACGCCGGCCATCAAACTCCACCCCCAGCAGCTCGAGCGTCTCGGCGGGAGAGTTCTCCTCGTGGTAGTGCAACCCGCTCTTGTCGAGGTCGCCCTTGACGGCGTCCAGGGCGCGCTGCGTGGCGGCTCGGCTGAGCCCGATGACGTTGGCGTTGTCGACGTACGGCAACCGGTAGGCCAGCTCGGGCCGCGGCGCCTCTGGCGCGTGCCGATCCTGCAGCAGGCTCGTCTCCGTCCTGCCCGCCTCGGAGGTGATGGCGTGGCAGAAGTGGAGCGCCCAGGGCCACCCCATGGGCAGTCCCTCGAAGACAGGGAAGAGCATCTCGTCCGGTCCCACCGGCACGAAACACTCCCGCTCCTCGTCGAAGATCTCACTGACCCCCCAGACGTCAGCGCGCTCGGCGAAGTCGATCCCGAACAGCGAGCCCAGCTTGCGGTTGCGAAACTGGTAGAAGCCATTGTACAGGTCGACCGAGGCTGCGTTGACGTTGACCGGCTCGCCCGAGCCGACCGAGCTGTCTGAAAGGTCGAGGGACCCGAGCGCCGCCACAGTCCCGAGCCACGTGTGCGGCGGGCGGCGACACATCCGTTTGGCCTCCCTCGCGTCGACGATGAGGCGCAGGGTCCCGTCCT